TTGGGCTTTGCAGCATTTCACCATGGCAATGACCACCTGACTCCTGCAGGAGGTCCATGGCTTGCTGCTGGCTGCTGTGGCACAAAGCATGTGCCACACAAGGCAGCCAGCCACTTTCAACATAAGAAAGAAAGCAAGCAGTGATCACCTCTTCCTTCCGCTTCTGTTGGGCAGGGCCAATGGCGTTGATGCTATTGCTTGAGTGGGTAACATGATGATGCTGATCCTCTTGCATATGAACCGAGGTTTGGGCCGCCGTAATAGGATGGGCTGGTTGGGTGATGGGCCCGGTTGTGCACAGCTGCGGCAAGCAGTGATCCGGAAGCTGTTGCCGGTGAAATGGTTGCCCTTCTGGCTGTCCTGCAGGCATTGGTGCCACCTCCACCGGCCATTGCCACCCAAACGTGGTAGAGGCTGTACGACAGCAGGCGGGCAGCATCGTGCATGCACAGCAGAACATCTTCAAGGCTCACACGAAGCAGGTGCGGCAGGCTGCCTGTGCAGTCCTGCTTGACGGCAGCGGGCAGTGCTGCAGCAGCAGTGTGGCGGCTTGGCTGGCGCAATGGAGCCTGCACACATGTTTGAATCTAAGTTATAACGTAGTAAGCATGTGCAGCAGATGCATGCTTTGTATTGCTCAACTCAGCGCAGTTGGTGGCACTCACACCGCCACACTGAGCGCGTCATCACCGCCAAGCCTGGCAGTTGCCCTCTGCAGTTGAGCGCACGCGCGGCGCATTGTGCAGCCCACGCCCGCTGTACAGCATTGCGTTAAGCGGCAGCGCATCTGGCCGTACATGCATGTTCAAGCAGCCTCCACTGAATGTAAACTAACGCTTAGCATGTCACACGACGCTGAGTGTGTCGCTCTTCCTCGCCTGCGCTGTGCTGCATCCATGCCTGACGCATTGGCCATGTCTGGCCCCCACCATACACCCCTCCAATCCAACCCAACCACTCATGCAACCGGCAGCTGGAGCTGGATGCAGCACTGTCGCGAGTCATGCCGCCGCACCTCACCAAGTACTTCTACTGCAACAGCGGCAGCGAGGCAGTTGACAACGCAGTCAAGATCGCGCGCGCAGCAACCGGAAGGGAGTGCATCATCGCCTTTGATGTGAGTGGCAGGGCCTCTGAAGGGGGCTGGGGCCCACCTAGCAGTCTGTCTGAAATGCGCGCGACGCCGCTCACTTTGTGCCGAGGCGCAGCAAGCTAACGCCATGCCAGTGTGGTGACTGACTGCGTGAACGATTGCAAGGCTTCGTACAGCAGCCCAACCGCTGGTGTGCATCGTCCCTGTACTGCTGCTCTTGACGTGGCAGGGGGGCTTCCACGGGCGCAGCATCGGCGCCATGGCCCTCACCACCAGCAAGGTCATCTACAAGCAGCACTTTGGGCCGTTCATGCCGGGCGTGCACATTGCACCCTACCCCTACTGCCTGCACTGCAAGGTGCAGGCGGAGAAGGTGAGACTGCAGCGGCACCCTACTGCCTGCTGCTGGGCCAGCTGAAGCTGCATGTTTTCCTCCACCGGCTGGCAGCAGCAGCAGTGCACCACACGCGCACGTGCCAGACTATGTGTGTGGCCCTGGTGGCTCTTGACCCTGGCGTGATGGCTGATAGCTGTGGGTTGGCTGTGCAGACGTCCTGCACTTCTTGTGTCATCATGCTGCTGCCCACATGCACCCAGCGCGCCTGCTGCTGCTTCCCCTGCTGCCAAACTTGTCGTCACTGCCTGCAGGGCCGCAGCGGCTACCATGTGGCGCCCTACATGCCGCCCTTTGACTCGCCAGACAGCCGCGTCTGCTGCAATGCACCGCAGGAGGTGCGCTGCGCGGGCGCTGCAGCTGACCTGTCACACGTTTCATTGGACTCGAAGGCCAGTTTGACGGCCTGGGTGTGCAGGCTAGGACCCGTTCTTGGCACGGTGTCTGCTGCGTCTGGCCACTTGCTGCCCATGCAGCTGCATCGCCCAGCTGGTTTGCGTCAAACTAGCTTGCTGTGGTTGCAGCTGCTGCCCAGCTGTTTGAGTAGTCGCTGGTGTACAGTCAGCAGACTTCACGGTGTTGAACGCCCCGCTACCTAGGAACTGGCACGCTGCTCTAGCCTTGCATCTGCTTCTTGATTGTGTTTGCTGCTGCTGCTGCTGCTGCTGCCGCTGCCGCTGCTGCTGCTGCTGCTTCAGGCGCTGGAGTGGATGCTGGTGCAGCAGGTGCACCCTGGTGATGTGGCTGGCATCATCCTCGAGCCCATCATGGGCGAGGGCGGCTTCCTGACCCCGCCCCCGGGCTTCTTGTCGGGCCTGAGGGCGCTGGCAGACAAGCACGGCATACTGCTGATCGCGGATGAGGTGGGGCCGCTGCCTGTAGGTTACTTGCACTTTTCCTGCTGCTAGTATGTGGTGACTGCACGAGTGCGGCGTTGGTGTGCTGGCGGGTCTGGGCACGTGGTGGGGCTGTGTGTGCAAGGCATGTGTGGTGTTCCATGTTGATGGCATGGGAGATTTGGTGGGATGTTGGCTGCGTGTTCACGTAATGCCGCGAGTGTGTCTGCTGTCGTCACCCTGCTCAACCAAGGCTGCTGCTGCCTTCACCTGTTCGTACCGTGCTGTCCTTGCTGCACAGCTCAATGTACATGTGCAGTCCTAGTCTCGTGCAGCTGCGAGCCGCACACCCATCATAACGCCCCATGTGCGTCTTCCTGCGTTTCTGGCGCTGCTGCAGGTGCAGTCTGGCGCTGGCCGCAGCGGCATGTGGTGGGCGCACGGCCAGTTTGACGGCGGCGCCATGCAGCCAGACATGGTCGTGGTTGCAAAGGGCATCGCCAGCGGCTACCCAATGGCAGGTGCTGGCCGCGGCGGCTGCGCGGCGGTGACGTGTTGCAGCCGTGAAGTGTGCAGCCTGCTCTGTCTGTCGTGGGTGTGCTGTGGGCAGTACGCGCAGTGGGTGTGGAGCGGCATGCAGATGGGCAGCATCAACGAGTCACCAGCAGGTGACCCCTGACACAGCACTGCCTGAAGAATAGATGAAGCCAGCTGGCTGCCGTCCGACACTGCACTGTGAGACACGGCCATCAGGAGGCGGGCGATGAGCTGTGCTGCTGCCGGCTGGCTGCAGGCGTGGCAACCAGGCAGCACCACTTTGACAACATGCAGCCGGGCACCATGGGCGGCACATACGGTGAGGCAGCAGCACCCACCTGCAGCTCTGGCTGCGGTTGCGGGAGAGCTGCTTTGCAGTTGCCACACCGCATGCGCCTGCACAGCATCATGCCCTCCGCTTCATGTGCCTGTAGAACTGTCTGGCAGCGGCTGCTTGGTCCGGCTGCAGGCTAGTCGGACATCTTGCTGCTGAGGTGGCGGTGTGGTCAACTGCTTGCAAAGGCGCTAACATGCGTCCATGCCATCAACCTTCCTGTCTGCAGGTGGCAACGCAGTGGCATGTGCAGCAGCGGTGGCCACTATTGAGGTCAGTGCACTGGGCTGGCCATACATTTACGCGTCTCTTTCACACCACACAACTTGTGTGGCACAAGCACCATGCCGCACTTGCACACCTTTGTGGCTGCCTTGAGCCAGGCAGTACTTTGTGAGCTGCTCGCCCATCACTTGTTTTGTTGCCAGGCATGCCGTGCATGCACCTGATGAGGTGCCTCATCAAGCTGCACATGACCACATGCATATGACCACGTGCAGCATGAATACACTGGCTGCTGCTGTCACTGCTGCTGCTGCTGCTGCTGCCGCTGCTGTCATTGCTGCTGCTGCTGCCGCTATCACTGCTGCTGCTGCTGCTACTGCCAGGCCATCGAGTCGGAGGGCATGCTGGACAACGCCAGCCAGCGGGGCGTCCAGCTGATGCAGGGACTGGTCAGCCTGGCCGACAGGTGAGCCACCAGACGCCTGCATGCCTGAATGTGCATCGTGTTGCGTCGTGTACTCTTTCCTGCGAGGTCTTGCTGAACTCTGGCATGCCCATCCTAGCCTGTTGCCAGCTGCTGCAAGCTCTGTGCTGCTAAGCGGGTCGCGCCGCGGCTGTTGAAAGCTGTTGACGCACATGCATTGGCATGCAGTGCACAGCGCGGCGCGAGGTTGAGCTTGCCTGGGTGTATGCTTGCTACACGCGCTGCAGAGTTGGTTTGCGTCATGTAGCTGACTTGTCCCCTTCCCTGGTGCAGGTATCCCATCATCGATGTTCGGGGCAGGGGCTTGATGGTGGGCGTTGAATTTGGCAGCAGCAGCAGCAGCAGCAGCAGCAGCAGCAGTTTGAAGGCCGAGAAAGGGGTTGCAATGGTGAGTTGCAGCTGCAAGTTCTTGAGTTGTGGCTGCGATCCAACATGTGTAAAGCACCCAGGCACTGCCTTCCCGCTGCGCCCGCTAGCCATTCTTGGCTCTGCTTTTTGTAGTGCTGCAGCCGGCTGCGCTTACACCAGAGCCGCTGGGGGGCAACGTGGTGGCGATGACTTGCCGGCCTGATTTGGCTTGGATGCTTTCAGCACGGACGTCTGCCTCCAAGTGGCAGACACTGGCATGCTTGCGTAGCTTGGCATGCAAATCATTGTACAAGGCTGAACTTGCGAACTGCACATGCTCTGCTGCATTGCTGTAGGCTGTCACCAAGGCTGCTTTCAAGCACAACCTGCTCCTGATGACAGCTGGGGCTCGTGAGAGCATCCGCTTCTTGCCGCCGCTGAATGTGACGGCAGATGAGGTGGACACGTGCCTGGAGGGCTTCGATGCTGCTTGCAGGGAGGTGTTCAAGTGCTAGTACTGGTTGCTGTGAAACTCGGAGGTTGGTCGTAAGCTGGATGCAGTGTGCGTATGCCGCCGAGTGGACAGTCGTGCTTCAAACATTGGCTTTAAAAAAACTAATGCTTTCAAAACGCTAGCGCGGTGCTGAAACTGCTTAATGAGGATGAAAAACAAAAAAAAACTCGGGAAAACCCTAAACCCTGAGAGAATTGGTATATGGACGCTGGATCGATGTAAATGTGTCGTTTCGGCTCCCTTGGCCTAGTGGTTTAGGGCGTCTCGCTTACACCGAGAAGATCGCCAGTTCGATCCTGGCAGGGAGCACTCGTTGTTGTTGTTTGTTTTGACGGTGTGACGGCCACACCTCAGACAAACGCACCGCAAGTTTTCATACTCAGCACTGGTGATCAGTAGCAAACCTACTGGGCAGCGGCAGTGCACACACCATGTGGCCCTACCAGTGCAGGGAAGAAGGGGTCACTCCTCTACTGTGCAAGTTACACGGTGTGTGCATCTGAAATTGCACCTGCCTGCAGTGCATGTCCTGTTGGGTCAGCAAGTTTGCGCACAGGACCCCACCAGTACCGTTAATGGCAGTGCTTAGAACCTGCATTAAGCACACTATGCTACTATGCTACGCGTAGCACGAGGTCGACCTTCGTACTACGCGTAGCATAGTAGCAGTGTGCTTAACAGGCTATTCAGCGGTGGAGGAGGAATCCTCCATTTCGCACTTTTCGTGCAATTGTCGCCATTGAAGGGGTTCCGCAAGGGCTAAACTGAAACTTGATCGTATTAGGTATGGTTTTCAGGCGTGCATTGGGTAGCTACGTCCCACACGCACCCATGGCGTTACTAAGACGTCTGAAAGTGGAAAGACATCCGTAAACCGGAGGCTGATGTCAAAGCGCGCGAGAAACTGTTACAAAAGTAACTACTACTGTGACATTGTACGCCTTCTTTGTGTTCACGAGGCCATTAATCAGCACAGTAGCTGCCTAGCTTACTTGAGGCAATAGAAGCACGTCGATACCTGAGCTCACACGCTGATTGCCGCTGGTTACAACCGATATTACTTGAGTTCTGCATGGTAGTGCCGTGCTGGTCATATAGGTGAGCTAGTAAGCGAGTCTGGACAGCAGACAGCAGGCAGGCCACGAGCTTGACCATGGTGGATGTCGCTGTATCCCAGTGTTCACAGATACATGCGTTAACCTTATAAAATACGAATCATAGTTTAGATATATATTTTGAACAATAGATGTGTCTTTAGCCACCCAGGCTGAGTCCATGTTCATTCGGCCAAAGCGTGCTGCTGCGACATGTTTGATACAAACGCAATACACAGATGCAACCAATACAATGCAAAAAAACACTTGATGAGGTGCATGCGAGCTACGCATCGTTTAATGTGAGTTTATGGCAGAATGGTTATGCGTGTTTCGCAGGTGACGAAACAGTGGAGTGATACAGTCGCAGCAAGCACTGCAGCGCGACAAAAGAAGCTTTATAACCATATAAACGTTTGCAAAAAGAAGCGTGGGGCGACCGGCCCGACGCATCAGAAAATGCCAGAAGAGGGGCTGCTGAAAGCCTGTTAATGGACGTCACCTCCAGAGGAAGTTCTACCGTGGTCACCCAGCGCAGATGGCTCACGCCGAAGGGGTGAGTGGGAAACACGTGATTGTTTGTGAGCAGAAAGGTGGCAGGCCAGAAAGGCTATCAGTAGCCGATCACAACTGGGTTACGTGGGCGAGGGCTGTCATAACAGTAGGGTTGTTGCAAGTACTTAGTACACAGGTCCAGGTCAGCGTGCTGCCGGCCCGTCCTTTTCATTGGCGGTATCTACAAGTGTCTTATCAATAGATGAGGGCAGATGTGACGGCCCTCACCCGGCGGTAGTCGCTTTGCAGCTATCGCACCTCAAGTTACTCCTGTGCAGCACTTGTAGTGCGTTAAGACTGCTCCGTCGCCAGACTACATATGCATTATAGAAGTTTTAAGCCATCTCATATCGTATACGTTGAAAATCGTAGCAGCAGCAGAAGCAGCCGCAGCAGCAGCAGGACAGCAGCCCCCTGCCGCCTCCTTATGGAGGATAACAGCAGCCTTTCGCAGCTTGTAAGCTGGCTACAATCAGTCGGCATCTGGTGGGACAAGTCGCTGGTACAAATTCGCGGCGGCTGCAGCAACTGCAGCGGGCCGGCACTGGGCGTGTTTGCTGTGTCAGATGTTCAGGAGAACCAGCTACTATGTGTCATACCACGCTCAGCAATCCTCTCACCTCGTACCACGCAACCGGCTCAAGTGAGGCTGTAGGCAGTGCTTGGCGGCGGCTTGTGCTGCAATCCTGCCATGTAGCACTGCATGCGTTGCAGCTGGCTGTGACGAGCACTGGCGGCACGTGCACGCAGATGTCTGGACTTTCCTGGTTTCAGACCCTGCTTACATGTGGTTGGCACCAAGTGAGGTGGCTGCACAGTCAATGTATGAGCACCTTTGCCATGATGTGAGACACTACAGACTTCAGTCGTTCTAACTGACCTAGGGCTTAGATGTCTGTCCCCGCAGCAGCAGTACCAGCAGTACATGTGCAAAGTTGCAGCTAACACGTGGTAGGCAATAGGCACCGCATTGCACACACACCTGTGTAGTGCTTCCATTCCTTATTACTATAAAGTACTTCAAACAGACAGTTACTGTTGTAACGAGGATGCTGAGGTTGTCATCTTTGGTGCACCCACGCGTGCAGATCCTGGAGGCTGAGAAGCTGGGTGGTGGGCTGGCGCTGACCATAGCGGTGATGTACGAGGCGAGCCTAGGCAAGGCCAGCAAGTGGTGAGCAGCAGGGTGTTCTACAGCTCTACCTCAACTGCTGTAGGTACTTCCTACATTGCCCAACTACTGGCACCTGGGCATGCAGCCAGCGCCCATGCGCAGTACAGTTCCTGCATCAGACACATGAGCACCGCACTCCATCGGTCTGCCAGTGGTGGCGGCAGCTGCTGTGTAATGCAGGCGCAGCTGCTGACCTGGCCCCGCTGTTGCTGCTGGTTTGCTCCTGCTGCTGCTGCTGCTGCTGCTGCTGCTGCTGCTGCTTTCTCCAGGGCTGGCTACTTTGCGTCGCTGCCAGCTCGTGAGTACCTGCCCATGTTTTGGAGCCAGGATGAGCTGGACGCGCTTGCAGGCACAGCGCTGGAGGGCGTGGCGTGTGACGACAGGTGCGCCTGGGGTTCAGGCTCAGGGGTTCAGGCTGGGGTTCAGGGTATAAGGGGCTTCATCCCTGGTGTGGCTGGGAGCATGCTCGTGTGCTTAGCACAGGATGGGATGGCAGAGGACGACAGGTGCGCCTGGCTTCTTCATGCTCAGAAGAAGGTCTGGGTTCAGGGTATAAGATGCCTCATTCCTGACATGATTGGGAGCAAGCTAGTGGGCACAGCAGAGGATGGCAGAGGACGACAGGTGCCCTTGTGCTTCATGTTCAGAAGAAGGCTGGGGTTTGGGGTAAAAGATGCCTCATCCCTGGTGTGGCTGGGAGCAAGCTCGTGGGCACAGCACAGGAGGGAGTGGCGGAGGACGACAGGCGCGCCTGTGCTGCACACAGGGTGACATCAGTCTCATGACTTTGATCCGTCAGTGTGCACCCAGTACAGAAGCACCCGTAGTGAACGCATGCCGGTGGGCACAGCGCTGGGAAGACTGGCTGATGGCGACAGGCGCGCCTCCTCTCCCTGCAGGGGTGTGCGCGGGCGCGCCACATTTGTCGGCAATACGCAATACCTATGGATCAACAGCATGCTGCCCGGCGCAGCCTGGTGGGCATGTTCTTCATGCTCCGAGCAGGGGGCAGGCTGTGTACGTGTGCGGCTGGCGTTTGGGGGTGTTTCATGGATGTTCAGCCGTGGCTGCAGTTGCGGGACGCCTGCAGCCACGCCTGCTCACTCACAGCACCGGCTGATGGGAGTGCCTCTTGAAGCCCCCTGCTGCTGGGTGCCAGCGGTTGGGTTGCTGCAAGAAGAAGGCCTGCTTGCGCCGGCAGCTGCTGCTGCTGCTGACGCCTGTGTGCCTGCTGCCACGTCGCTGCTGCTGCTGCTGCTGCTGCTGCGGCGGCAGGCGGGACACCCAGGACGACTACGAGGCGCATGTGGTGCCCCTCATGGCAAAGCACAAAGAGGTGCGCCCCGCTGTCGTCGCCGCAGCGCCTGCAGCCAGCGGGCACCATGCAGTGACTAGCGGGGCACCCGTTGTGGAGCGTGTCCGTGCACAGCAGCAGTTGCACAGCAGCTTCGGCAGCGCCCACTGGGGCGGCTCCCACCAGCCTCTGTGCTGCTGCCCATGCTGCGTGTGGCAAGCCTCTTGGGACATGAGGGCCCACTGCTCCACTGCTCTCCCGTCTTTCGTCGTCCGCCCCCTTGCTATCCCACCCTCTTGTAGCAGGCCTTCCTGCATGCTGGGGTGTGCAAGCTGCTCTGCACTGCAACAGCGCAAACCTGATCGCCCGTTGCCGCACACCAAACAAGCGACAGCCTGGCTGTGTTGCCGCCCTGCTGCAGGCCTTCCCGCACCCCAAGCTGTGCAGCTTGCAGCACTTCCGCACGGCAGCCAGCTGGGTGGCCAGCAGGTCGTTCCACGTGGACGCATGGCATGGTGAGGCAGCGGGCGCACACACAAGCGCATTCTCCACACAGGCAGCCTAGTGGGGGCGGGCTGTGTCACGTGCGTTACAACCTTGCGTGTTTTCTAGGCACCCTGCGCTTGCTGCTGCTTTTCTGTTGGTGATGTGTCCTGCGCCGCCTTATCAGTCTCCCATCCTACCCAGCGACAGTTGACGACTCTAGCCCTTGCTGCTGCTGCTGCTGCTGCTGCTGCTGCTGCTGTGCTGTGCTGCTGCTGCTGCCCCAGGCGACGCGATGGTGCCGCTGGCTGACATCTTCAACCACAAGGCCTCCCTGGTGCTGCTGGAGGACGGGTGGCAGGTGCGCAGCACGCAGCAGCAGTTACTCAAGCAGCAGGGATTTTTTCAGTGTTGCTTACTGCAAGGGCACTGAATGCGTCGTTGCGCACCAAAAAACAGTGTGCAGGCCCGGCTGGACTCCTACTGGTACTGCTGCTGCTGTGCTGTTTATGTGGTACGGAGGTGCGGCTGCATGCGGCTGCACGTGCATGCTGTGATGGCCGTACATGTTGCTGGCGCGTAGCTGTGCATGCATTTGATGATGCGCTCACTTGCTGTTGAGACGTCGGGTAGGCAGTGGACGGCTTGTCTGCCGCATCAGCTCGTGTGTTGAGCATTGTGTGTTCAGCAGCTGATGCTGCGGTGTGGC